TCCGGGCCCCCCCCATACCTGTTTGGGGTGCAGAGGGAGAGGAGGACGGTGCTCTCCCAGACCAGGGAGCAGTAGAGCTGACTCAGTTTCCCCAACACGCTCAGCCCCAACTGGGAGCCCCACTGGTTCACCGAGATGGCCCGGATCTCGCTCTGGGATGGGGGGTGACAAGAAGTGATGAAACCCTCTCTTTGCCCCCCCAAAAAACCACTGTCCCCCCAAAAAAACCAGGACTTTACCTGCCCCACGCGACAGGTGTGGACGAACATCATGATGTAGGCGTGGGCGGCGGTGAGGGCGTGCAGCAGGGGGGTGGCCTGGGCAGAGAGGGTGGCGTCGGGGACGCTGCCCGCCCCCGCCAGCTCCCGCAGCAGCACCGACCCCCCCGGGGCCTCGATGGGCCGGTGCAGGGGCTCCAGCGCAGACAGCACCCCCTCCAGCTGCAGCAGCCCCTCCTGCAGCACCTTGGGCTCGTGAGACAGTGTCTGCGGGGGGAGGAATTAAAAATCAGGGGGAGAAAATTAAAAATCGGGGGGAGAAAATTAAAAATTGAGGTAAAAATTCAAAATCGGGGAGAGAAAATCCAGAATCAAGGGAGAAAATCCAGAACCAGGAGGAGAAAATCAAAACCGGAGAGAGAAAGTAAAAATTGGGGGGGGGGAATAAAAAATCAAGGGAGAAAATTCAACACTGGGAGCTGAAAATAAAAGTCACAGAAGAAAATTCAAAATCAGGGAGAGAAAATAAAAATTCGGGGGAAAATTCAAAATCAGATAGAGAAAATAAAAATTGGGAAGAGAAAATAAAAATTGAGGGAAAAAATTCAAAGTCAGACAGACAAAATAGAAGTTGGGGAGAGAAAATTCAAAATCGAGGGGAGAAAATTCAAAATCAGAGAGAGAACATAAAAATTGAGGGAAAAATTCGAAATCAGAGAGAGAAAATAAAAGTTGGGGAGAGAAAATTCAAAATCAGGAGGAGAAAATCAAAATTGGGGAGAGAAAATCAAAATTGGGGAGAGAAAATCAAAATTGGGGAGAGAAAATCAAAATTGGGGAGAGAAAATCAAAATTGGGGAGAGAAAATCAAAATTGGGGGGGGGAGAAGGGAATAAAAATCATGGGGAGAAAATAAAAATCAAGGGAGAAAATCCATAATCGGATAGAGAAAATCAAAATCATGGGGAGAAAATCAAAATCATGGAGAGAAAATTCAAAATCACGGAGAAAACAAAAACTAGGGAAAGAAAATTCAAAATCAGGAAACAAAATCCAGAATTAGATCTATTAGTAGAATTAAGATCTAGAGAGAAGAATTAAAATCTGGAGAGAGAAATAAAAATTTCAAGGGAAATATAAATCAGTGAAGAAATCAAAGTCTAGAAGGAGAAACAATCAAAACCTGAAGAGGGAAGTCAAAATTCACAGAACGGAACGATAATTTGTAAAGAAGAATTCAAGTTTGGAAAGCAATAAAAATTGGTAGAGAAATGAAAACTGGAAAAGAGAAATAAAATTTGAGAGCAATTAAAATTAGAGGGAAGAGTCAGAATTTGGGGGAGGGGAATCAAAATCTGGGGGAGCAATTGATTTAAGGAATGAAATAAAAAGCGGGCAAAGAGAAATGAAATTTCAAAGGGAATTAAAACTCCAGAGAAATTAAACATTTGGGTGAAAAAAAATTGAAGTTTGGAGATGAAAATTAGCACAACAAATTAAAACTCAAAGGAGAAATCAAAAATTAAAGAGAGAGCCCCATATTAATCTCTTTGGGGTCTTCCCTAAAGCCCTTGTGGACCTTTTTGGGGTCCCCCCCCTGAAGTCTCCATTGAAGTTTTCAGGTTCTAACCCCCCCCAAGCCCATTTTTTGCCCCCCATCTTGTACCAGGATGGATTTGCAGACGCCGGCCACGGCCTGACAAGCAGCAGAGGTGGGGAAATCCACGGGCAGATTGGGGAGCCCCAAAATGGTGACGAGGGGCCGCAACCCCCGTTGGGCCACGAACTCCTGGCAGTGATCGTCCGTCGTGTTGTTGCTGAGGATCGACTCCACGAATTTCATCTTGTGGGGGGGGAGAAGGAAAAAAATCAGGAGGTTTTGGGCTTTGGGGGGGGTCCCCAAAATGCCAACAACCCCCTTTAAAGGGGGTGAACCCCCTTTTTTTTTCCTCACCACGTTGAGGATATAGTCCATGAGGGGGATGGGGATGCGCTCCTCCGTGCCCACCACCCTGAAAAGCAAAGATGGGGTGACGTTAAATGGGGTGTGTCCCCCCTCAAAACGTCCTTTTCTAGGTCCCCCACCCCAAAAAAAACACCAAACACAACACTCACTGCTGGCTGGGCTCGGCCTCGCTCTGTTGGGTAGCGCTGAAGCTCTGCATGGCCTGAACTTCTTCCTCCTCCTCATCCTCGCTGGAGGCTTCTTCAGCGGCGTGGGGGGAACGGGGAGGGGGGGCCGCCGCCGTCCCATCTGCTTTCTGCATGGAGGGCTTCTGGCAGATGTATTTGGGGTCCCGGCCCAGGCTGCAAATCTCCTCTAAAAGCTACAAAAGAAGATTTAAATTTTAGGGGGGGGAGGCTTCTTTAGGGTAGGGGGGGGTGGCCTAAAGGTTATCCCCCTCCACAAAGTGTCACCTTGATGATGGCAGTGGTGGCGTCCGTCTTGAGGGTGGGTTGGTGCCGCATCAGCTCGTCCACGGCGCTGCCCAGGTTGGAGGCTGTGTCACCTGTGGGGGTACGGAAAAGGTTTTTATTGCAGGGGGGGCCAAAATAAAGAAGCCAAAAGCGCGTTAAAAACCCCCAAAAAAGTGTATTAACAAGATGGCGGAAAGGCTGTGCCTCCCCAAAATGGCAGCGGGGGTCCTCTCCCTTGCTATGTGGTCTATGTGGGCCCCCCTGCTAAAAAAAAAGGAGGAGGATCCCCAAAATAAGTAAAAACACCCCCCAAAGTAGAAAGAAGCCTTTTAAATGTGATAACCACCACAAAAAAAGTGTATTAATGGGACATTGGCGTGGCTGGGAGTCCCCAAAATGGCGGCGCGGGCCCTCTCCTCACATCCCCTTTGCTGTCTATGTGGGCCCCCCGCTGAAAAAAGGAGGGGTGGTCCCCAAAATAAAGAGAAATAGCCCAAGAAAGAAAAAAAAGCAGCATCCTAAATGTGGTAAGGAACCCCAAAAAAACAAAAATAAGCACTGTGTCATAAAAAATAGTCAATGGGATGATGGCGTAGCTGTGGGTCCTCAAAATGGCGGCGGGGTTTCCCTCAAGGAATCCTTCTTGTTGTCTATGGTGTGTCCCCCCCAAAAAAAGGCAAGAAGAGTCTCCAAATAAAGAGAAATACCCCCAAAAAGAAAAAACCAGCACTCTGAACGCTATAAACACCCCAAAAAACAGTGTGTTGACGGGATGGTGGTGGGGCTGTGGGTCCGCAAAATGGCGGCAGGGTTTCCCTCAAGGCATCCTCCTTGTTGTCTATAGGCTCCCCCCCCCAAAAAAAGCAGGAAGTCTCCAAATAAAGAGAATTACCCCCAAAAATAAAAAAGCAGCAATCTGAATGTCATAAACACCCCAAAAAACTGTGTGTTAATGGGGATAGTGGTGGGGCTGTGGGTCCTCAAAATGGCGGTGGGGTTTCTCTCAAGTCATCCTCCTTGTTGTCTAGGGGCTCCCCCCCCCAAAAAAAAAGAAGGGGGGATCCCCAAAGAGAACCTCCCCCCCCCCAAAAAAATAAAAAATAATAAAAAAGCAGCACTCTCAATGTCATAAAACTGCAAAAAAACAGTGTGTTAATGGGGCAGTGGTGGGGCTGTGGGCCCTCAAAATGGCGGCAGGGCTTCTCTCAAGGCATCCTCCTTGTTGTCTAGGGGCTCCCCCTCAAAAAAAAAGGGGGGATCCCCAAAGAGAACACACCCCCCTCCCCGCCCCAAAAATAGAAAATAATAAAGAAGCAGCACCCTCAATGTCATAAAACTGCAAAAAAACAGTGCGTTAATGGGGCGGTGGTGGGGCTGTGGGCCCTCAAAATGGCGGCGGGGGTTCTCTCAGGACTACGACATGTCTCCTACCCCC